CACACCTGACAGTTAGCCAAAGGAAGCAGCCGATGCATTTTTGGTATCTTTCAGATAAACCCACTGGATGGAGTACCCCACACGCTACACCTGACACCCACATCCAGCTGGAAAAAGCCAAGTCAGTCATCGACACAATTCCATAATGGTAACTGGGGTTCCCTCTTCAGAAGGAAGTGGTAAGAACAGGAACTAGAAATTGGCCAATTTACCTAAATAGGTAAAAAAGAAAAAAAAACTCAAAGAAAAGTAGCCAGTTTCCTTCCTGGCTAAAATCAAATTTCCTTGGGTTCTTGGCAGTATCATTCCTGCTAGAGACCAGAGATGCCAGAATTGTTTGGAGGTACTGACCTTTGATCTGGTTTATAAGTGATTTTAGGGTTACTTATTCAGAGTAGGGAATTACAGTAGCAATAAAGGCCCATTAAGGAAAAAAAAAAACTTCTGGAACTGGAGAGATAGTTCAGTGGTTAAGAGCACTGCCTGTTCTTCCAGAGATCCTGAGTTCAACTCCCAGCAACTACATGGTGGCTTACAAGCATCTGTAATGAGATCTGGTGCCCTTTTCTGGAGTGCAAACATATATGCAGACAGCACACTGTATATCATTAGATAGATAGATAGATAGATAGATAGATAGATAGATAGATAGATAGATAGATAAATCTTTTAAAAAAAAACAAAAAAGAAAAGAAAAAACTTCTGAGTACTGCTGCAGAGATGGCTCAGCCATTTAAGAGCACTCAATACTTCTCCAGGTGGCCAGGTTTGATTCCCACCATCCATACAGTGGCTCAAACCATCTGTAACTCCAATTCTAGGAGCTCCAATGGCATCTTCTGACCCCCACAGCCCCAAGGGATGGACATGTTATACAGACATACATGCAAGCAAAACACCCAACCACATAAAATAAAATTATAAAAGTTAAAGATTAAAAAGAAAAATAAACTTCTGATCAAAAGAATCCAGCCTTTGGTCTAGTGTTCCAGTTAAGCCAGGTCAATCACCTGGCCATGGGAGTAGTACCCCCAAGACAGGCAGGTTCTATTTACATCATGCTGAAGAGATAGGCAGAAGAATTTATCCTTTAATGAGATCCTGTCCTTTTTCCTTCTCAGAATCCCCGCCCCTTATGCAGAAGTGCACCAGGTTCAGCCATGCAACTTCTTTAAGTCTGTCCACTTTTTTAATTTATCCAGAAAAGTTTAACTTCTTTTCTTCTGTCTGTCTCTTTTCTAAGTATACTTTCCCTTAGGATTTTGGTTTCCTTACCCTTTCTCCAAAGTTCCCCTCCCTTCCTCCATGTGGCTGACTCCCATGCTGGCTGAACTATTACAGGCTTTCCCCCATTCTATCCTCCTCCTCTGGGCAGCGGTTGAGATTTATAACTTGCCTGCCCCTGGGTTCTACATTCTTTCAAATGCAAATAAGATTGTTCTTGAACTTGAATAAATATAAATATAAAATAAAATAGATGCTTGCTGCAAGTTTTATAGGCTGGTTTTCTAGCTGCCATTACCGTGAATCTAGGCAGCTGTCATTAAAATCCTGTCAAAAGAAACCACATCCGTTTGCTTCCTTGGACAAGCATCCCTTGGCCCTGTGGTGAAAGCACCAGCCAAAGGCAATTTGGAAAACAACCCCGGGGAAACATGATTCTCCACACATGGACAACTGGCTATGCATACAGACATGTGCACAGACACATGCACACGCCGACGCCATAAAACTCCTATGCATTTATGTTCCCATCATTTATGGGACACTAGGAAGAGTGTGATGTAAGCAAACACTGCCGTCTTTTTCAGAAACCCTTCACAAATAAACGGACACAGTCCAAGAGCGACACCCTGTGGCACTGACAGGCACACTGCTCAGGAACAGCAGTGTGCTGATGTGAGGCCAGATTGCTCAGCTGTCACACCTCTGATCATGACTTCTAAACTCATGCTCCACCCTTCCTGTGGTCCAGGGACATCTGTAGTCAGTCCAAACAGTACTTCTAGGGATATAAGCGTGCAGGGTCCCCCTACTTCTCCCGCTGCTCCCTGGTTCCTGAGTCTCATCCCCTACCTACCAAATAAGCAGTTTCTGATGCGTTGGATCCCACAATGACCAGGGCACTGCCACATCCTTTGATGTGGACGATGCTGTTCCTTGGTGAGAGAGGGTGACCTTATAGCTAAGCACCAAATCAACTTAGTGAGCTGAGTTGTCATCTGGGCAGTGTCTGAGTCACAGAATTCCAAATATAATGGATAAACCTGAAAACCAACCTCTAGCATCCTATTAAAACTGAACCTCAAAGATTACCATGCGCAGTGGTGACAGCGATGCAATAATAAAGCCAAGACATCAAACCATACCAGGTTTGCACGCTCTGTGTGCATGATCTAATCTAAGCTCATGGAGACCCTATCAGGTAGAGCTAACATCGCACACATTTTACAAATAGGAAAACTGGTGGCCAGAAAGATAACTCACTATGTGTAAAGTCACGGAGGTGGTTAGTTCCTGAAGACATGAGGTTCACTGGCTACAGATATCTTCTAGCCAGTCTAACCCACAAATCTGAAAAATGGTAAGCTACTATACCTCCAAATCCTTCCTGTTGTCAGCCACAAAGGCCATTCCCTAGCCAGTCAGCCTCACCCACCAATGCCAGCAACAGTGTTAACCACCCCAGCATCTCCTGGGCAGCTCCTTCTTCAGGGGCCCCCTTTTGTAGTCTTTCTTCTTCCCTCCTTAGCCATGGAAATGGTTCTTTTCTCACTAGGTCTCTGCTCTTTTCCTTCTTTCTCCCTCTCATCAGGACCTCAGTTACAAGATTCATACACTTGATGCTGGGATTCTAGGTACAGAGCTTTGGATTCTAGCCCTTTACTGGGGTGTCCCCACTCTCCTCCCCCTGCAACAACATAGAGTGGTTATTTAGACTGGCATCTTTCACCTGGCTGCCAGCTAGTCCCACCTTCTATAACTATCATGGCCCAAGCCCTTCTCAGAATATTTAGATGGAGTCTTTGGGGGCAAGACACAGATATCCATATGTCCAACTTTCTCAGATTCTTTAACTTCCTGGTGGTTGCTACTCAGCACCAGAGTCTCCTCCCCCTTCCACACTCCTCCTCCAGGATTCCAGCCTTAGCCTTGTCCCCGGACTCCTGCCTCCTAGTCAGTGCCCTGTTGATATATACCTCACCCAAAGCCAGGCAGCACCCATCATCTCTCAGCCTCTGCAGACATTCAGACACTCAGCATCCTCTATAAGGTCCAGGGAACACCTTACACAGTCTCCCCACCTTCTGCCTCAGGGAAAGCCATGCCAGGTCTTGGCTATACCAGTGTTCTCTGGGTAACCTGTCTCCAAGAGGATAACTTGCCTTTTTCCCATGATGCAAAGCTTAACTCAAAAGTCGCCTTTCTCATAATAGCTCTCTCTCTCTCTCTCTCTCTCTCTCTCTCTCTCTCTCTCTCTCTCTCCTNCTCTCTCTCTCTCTCTCTCTCTCTCTCTCTCTCTCTCTCTCTCTCTCTCTCCTATGCCTTCTTTGTATTTTTCTTTTTTAATTTTAATTAAAATATAATAACATCATTTCCCCCTTCCCTTTCCTCCCTCCAACCCCTCCCTTATCCCCTGTCTCCTGCCCCTCCCATTTCCTCTGCCTAACTCCCTCTCCTGAGAGTTCTGTTGACAGCCCTGTCCACTTTATAAATCCCTACTATCCTCCACCCCTCCCAAGATGGCAGAGTGCCTTCCCTGTCCAAGGATTCAGATTTCACACTTCTACATAGAAAAATGGCCTGTCTCCTCTCCCTGGAAATGGCAGATCACAGAGGGAGTTTCTGCCCTCTGTCTACTCTCTTGGTTGACTCTTTTTCATGAGAGAGGAAATAATCCTGGTATAAATACTGAAAGCATTAGCTAGTCCTTGGGTAGCCTTAGATAGTCCTTATATAGCTGTAGCTGTCTATTTCTTATGCAGCAAGATATTTCTTATGTAGCCATAGGTGTTTTTAATGTAGTCTTAGATATTCCTTACAGAGCCATAGATGTTCCTTATGTAGTCTTAGATACTTCTCGTGTAGCTGTAGCGACTCCTTATGTATCCTTAGATACTCCTAATGTAGCCATAAATGTTCTTTATGTGCTCACAGATACTTCTTACGTAGGCTTAAATCTTTTTCATGTAACCTTAGAGATTCCTCAGATAACCTTAAATATTCCTTATGTAGCCTTGGTTTTTCCTTTGATAGCCTTAGATAATCTCTGTGTAGTTTTAGATATTCCCCCACTGTGGACAACTGTGGCCACAGTGACTTTGTGTGTGGAGGCAGCTTTACCTTTCCCTGTGTGCTTGCCTGAACCTGACTTTCTGCTTTCCAATTACCTTGGGAAGCCCACCCAAACAGACCAGGCAGTACTGCCCGTCTCTGCCCTTCCCAAGACAGGGGGTTGGATCGACTGGCCACCTGCTGCTAATTGACTAGAAGCATAGGTCTGCTCCTCAGAACCAGCCCTTCCAGAATCAAGACAGAGAGGAGGAGAAGGTACCTCTGGTTCTCCTTGCCAGGGCTGACTTCACTAGTTCAAATTTTAGCTCAACACCATGTGTATGAACATCTCCAAGGAACCTGCCTTCCTGACCTACAAAGAATGTCATTGACCAAGCTGCTCTCTGTTTAGGTTCATCCTTCGACTGGACATGGTAAGTGATGGGATCCAGAACCTTGTACTGCACCCTTGGTGCAGAGCCTTTGGTCTTTAGGCTCTGCTTCTCCATTTGAACACAGCGAGGCCTCAAAAAACATCTATTGAAATGAACTGAGATGATTCTTTTTCTGATTGTGCCTCCTTCCTAGAACTTCCTGTGTCCACCTTGGATGTCAGAAGGGGACCCTCTGGTTCCACATCCAGGGTACCCCCTCCACCCTCTGCAAAGCTGCTCAGAGGAGAAGGGAGCACTGGGGAAGGCATCTGGGCCATCAAACATACTCACACTGGGGAGCAGGAATCTGGATCTATGCTCCTGGTGGGGACAAAGCCCACTTCTCCTGAGGTCACTGACTTTCCAATGAACCACTGCAGCCCGGGGATAACAAAGCCAAGGATCTCAATGCTTTCTCCCTGGAGGAAACTCAGTTCATCCTTTTCCTCTTGTTTGTAATCCATCAGGGCCTTGCACCGTCCTCTGCCTGTAGAAAACAACATACAGGTCAACTAGAAAGATATATAGGAGTGAACCCTCCCCTGTCTATCAGTGTGATACAGGCTAGAGTATCCCAGCCTTAAGGAATTTTAGTAATTTAGTCAGATCACACACACACCAGAATCAAACTGGTAGGAATGGCCAGGGTTAGTAGGTTTTGCATTTTGCCAAACTAGAACAATACAAAAAGAAACTACAATCCAAATGCTTTTCACTATAATTTTTTAAAAAGAAAAGGCACAAGTATAAGAAAGGCATTCTCAGAATACAGAATATGCATGCCTTTAAACTAGATAAGCTTATAGGAAACTGGAAAGTTTCTTATATTACCCTCAATGGATTCTGCCACCATTGTACATATCATCACCATGCTTGGCACAAGACCCCAGAGCAGTGCTTAAGAAGCTTTACAGCAGAAGATGCCTACATCTCCTTCCAGCTGCTTCAGCCACTGTGACACCTGATGCTTCTCAATACTAGAGTCAAACGCAAAGTGCACCATGCCTGGTACCTATTGGACTCTCCGAAGATGCTACTGCACAGTCGTTAGCACAACAGAGTGCTGCAGGGAAGCCAGAGGGATCTGGGACTACCCTTAAAGCTATAGGAATTACCAAGCTTGATGAATGGTTCACCTAGGATCCAATAACAGTGTTTCTGTGAGTATGGAACTGTCTAGTTTACAAAGCACATTTCCATTCTCAGGTTTGCCTGGGGGCTGAATGCCAGGCAGAGTACCCAGCAAAATTCCCTCTTCATGAATGAAAAAGCAGGAAACAGCGTTGACTGATGGGTCTAAGGGGCTAACCTGCAGTCAGGCTTCCCGGCTACTGCCACCTCTCCTGCACATCTGCTTAGTTCTTGGGACAGCATTTGGCTTGATTACACCACTTCTTTACTGAGAAGGTAGAAGCCCAGTGAAGGCAGGGAGTGCCGGCGTGAGGTTGTATAAACCACATCAGACTCCAAAGCCCCACAGTTCTGACTGTACACAGGTTATGTTTCTTCAAATGCTAATACCCTTGTTTATGGCCAATTACTGCACAGTTCTAATACTTTGATTCTGTGATTCCTCCTAGTTGTTTTAAGTGTCATAAGGGTTTGGAACTTGTAAAACTATTTTTTAAAACTAGAGATACGTAATAAGAAATGTACTAGAATATAGGGAGTTGCAAGGATACAGTTTCAGCGGTGTATTTTAGATATTTTGTTATCTAGTTAGCACATAAACAGCAGCGTGTGTGTGTAGACAGAGATTAGCTGACCTGTGGTGTGTGTGTACAGGTAGGTGTGTGCATAGTTCATTATCTATTTATCCAGTGTTTCCTGGGCACTCAGAGTCCCCCTAAATCACACTATGCTATGGAAAATCAGAAAATGTTTGGGTAAAGAGTTGGAAACTGGTGGCCTGCAGGTCACATTTGACTCAAAACTGTTTCATTTGGCCCATGCAAGCCTTTTTTTTTTTTTCTACCGATCTATCTTTAAAGCTCTCTCACCCACTCCATTCCCTAACATCTCTCCCCCAGCCCTCTCCACATATGTGTGTTCTGCCTGTTCACGTAGTCAGGGATCTGTTTCCTCAGCCCTGGCCAGAACTTTCACTTCCCAGGCAAAGACCCCAGCATGCAGACAGTAACCGGCTTCCCACATCCCATCGGTGAGACCAGGAGGCAGGACGACATCATCATCGCCCTGACAATGCTGTCTTCATCTCATACCAATATGACAGGAGCCTGTCCAGTCTCTCTTCCTGGGGAGATCACAGATTCCTGGGTAATTCTTTAGGAACCATCTGCCGGTGGAAACACGGAGCTTTAAGATGTTATAACAATGAACAGAGTAGTCCCGTAGGGAAAAAAAAAAATGATGGTGGTGTTGTTATTTAATCTTATTTTAATGGCAGCAAACTTAGAACTTACATTACGCTGTGAAAAATGAAAGTCTGGGATGTTTCCTAGCTCGGCAGTTCTCCTGCCAGTTAAATAATTTACACACAACCTTTAGTATCCTCACTGCCAGTTCTGCCAGGATCGAGCAGAATGTGTAAGATGTGAAAAACTGGTATCGCTCTATAATCTCAAGTTTACCGTATCCTCCCGTGGGAAGAACATGCCTGAGGAGATAATCTAAAATGGAAGTTTCTGGGTCCCACACCAAGAGAATCAGAGGAGGGTCAGGGAGCAGAAGTCACAGTAACGCCCTCAGGAGATACTGATATAAGTAGCCTTAGTCCGTGCATTGAAAAGCACTTCAAGAGGCTGGAGAGATGGCTCAGTGGCTAAAAGCACGCACCGCTCTTCCAGAGGACCTGGGTTCAATTCCCAGCACCCACATGGAAGCTCACAATTTTATGTAGCTTCAATTTCTGGCGATCTGGAACCATCCCAGACATGCACGCAGGCAAGACACCAATGCACATAAAATAAAAATAAATTTAAAAACAGAAAAGCATTTCAATGGAGGTCATACATTTCATCCTATATACTATGTTCATTTTTTCCACTTGCATCAAATAATACAATCAAAAAAAACCAGGATATTAAAAAGTCACCCCAATTGTGTCCTCTTCCAGGCACTAGGAATACTATAGCTAAAAGGATATCTATTCTATTCTGTACAAGCTTTGGTGAGCTCCAGGACCCTCCCCCCGAGGGAGTGGGCAGCTACTCACTGATGGAAAGGGACAGACAGGGGCTCCAGGGCTGACACAGGCACCAGGCCCCTCTGACCCGTCACTAAAGACACGCTTTCCCACTCAGATTCGCCTTCAGGGAGCACGGAGATTAGCTCATCCTTGCACAACGTCAAATATTCCCCTTCCTTCTCATCTGGCTGAGCCACGGAGCAGGTGGCTCTGCAGAAGAAGTGGCCTGCAGAGAATGAGAAAAACCTTCCAAGGAGTAGCTGGAAATGGGAGACCCTCCTAGAAGGTGCCACTTAGAAGCAGAGCCCAGACAACTTTCTTCCCCTGAGTAAAGTCCACTGTCCAGGAGGAGGCACAGGGCCTTGAGCTGTGATCCTGAGGAGTAAGAACAGCCACTGACAGGGAGTTCCCTTAAAATCGATACTAACAGATCTGAGCAATGTGGGAGAATACGGCTTAATTGGGCTTTACCTCAAAAAATGGAGATGAAGTAAACCCCCCCCCCCATCCTGGAAATATGTGTGCATTTACTAAACTCTGGCTGTCTTTGCAACCCTGTGCTTCGTTCAGAGACACTAAGAGGAAGGAAATCAGTTTAGATGGATGTGATGACTGCGTGAACTTTGCACTGGTACAACACAGATTCCATCAAAGGGGTTTGCAATGGGATTGGAAAGAGAATCTCTTTGGTAAGACTATCATGAACCAATCTGGCTTTCGATATGTATTAAGTGATCAAACTTGACCAACTGCCAGTCTGACGTCATCTGCCCTTGTGAAAAGTCAGATAGGGTTCTCCAGCTGGCTTCTCGGCATTCTGCTATTAAATTTCATGAAGTAGTTTGGGATTTCCAAGATTTATAAATTTACTTTACAATCAAATTACATCATGTGTTCATAGAATCGTCTCTCAATTCTGGAGATCATTAGAATTACATGGGAAACTTTATTTTTTAAAATGCCAATCAATGCCAGGGTCTCCACCTCCAAGAACTCTACCAGCTTGGGTAGAGCCTGGAAGCCCACTCTCCAAACCTCCAATCAGCCTGAATATGAATCAGTGAGACCAACTAACACAACTATTTTATGACGCCAGGACCAGGCTGAGAACAACAGATAGGTTACAGCAGATAGGTTGGCTAATATATGTTTTCATCTTTCAAAGATATTTTTGCCTCTTTTGGTATCTTAATTATCTGAGGGACTCCAATAACAAACATCTCAATGAGGCTCCCACCCCAAATCCCATACCAGACTCACCTTCCTGCAGCAAGAGGCCCAGGTATATGTTCTCCAAGTGACTGTCATCTACAGACACTTGGATCTCTGTGTCATCCACCAGCCTGCAGTTGAGCCAGTACTTGTGGTCAAAGAAGAGCTGTTCCAGACATGTGGACACATAGCCTAGAGGTCAAACCCACACAGTTGAACAAGAGGAGTTCTTCCCTGAGCGACCACCAAAGAGAAAGCAGGTTCCATCCTGCCTCAGACCCAGACCCATCATTTAAGTGGAGCAGAGTGCTAAACAGAATGAACTGATTCTTCTCAACATCTGCTAGGAAATACAAGTTGAGTTTAAGTCGTGTTTACCATTCTAAGCATTTCATGGTCTCCATAAGTGCATTTTTATCTTTTTAAATCTTTCTACATTTATTAATTTTCTGTCTGTCTGTCTATCTGTGTATATGTGTATGTATGTGTGTGTGTGTGCTGCGGGGGGTGGGGGGTGGGGGATAAGCAAATACCCTCGTATACCACAGTGCATGAGTGGAGGCCAAAGAACAGCTTGCAGAATCAGTTTTTCTCCACCGTGTGGGTTTCTGGGTAGAACTCAGGTTATGTGATATGTGTCTTCACCTCTGAGCCATTTCATTGGCCCTCAGTTATTTTTTCTAAATCAACAATGGGAGTCCTCCAGTTTGCTCTGTCAACTCCAGGGGTTCCTAAACTCCCCTTCAAGTTCTAACCTGAAGCTCAAATTTCTGTATGCTGATGCTTCGGAGGCTGTGACAGCCCACGGAGTCAGAATCCTGTTCCACCATCTTCTCTGATTCTGCCCTCCCATACAGCCTAGGATGCTCCGCCTTCTTACAAGCAGAAATGGCTGGGGATGTGGAACAGTGGTTAGAGTGCTCACCTAGCATGAGCAAAGCTCTGGGTTTGAGTCTCAGAATTGAAAAGAGATAGAGAGAAAGGAGGGGGAGAAAGAAAACTCAAAACTATGTAAATTGTAAAAAAAAATATTATTATGTCAATATTCTTCTAAACATAAATTACTCATATTGAAATTTTGCTTCTTCTGAGTCTTCTTCACTATTCCTATAATGCTATAACCTGCCATTCTCCACCTTCATTGTCTACTACGAAAGTCTTCTTAAACTTGGAAGTTCACAACCTAGGAGTGTGATAAAAATGCAGAGACTAGTTAGCAGGTCTGAGTTAGAGCCTGGACTTCTGAGTCTGTAACACCAGCACACTCCAGGGAGTGAACAAACTGATCCACAAAGTCTCAATGCCGACCATCTGTAATGGTCACAGGCCCTCCATCCCAGAGAGCAGGGAAATCACCATGAATATAAGACAAGGTTCCCCCTCCAGCCAAGGGTCACTTTAACCCTTAGCCCAGCTCAGCGTTGCCCTCTAGGTACAACTGCAGGGAACCCAGTGTTCTCTGTAAGGCAGCAAATGTTCGACAATTAGGTGACTTGGCTTTGAAGCCATCAGTTCCTGCCAGATGTCTTTTGTCCTGGGACAGAGGATGAAACGCTGCCTACTACAGTGGCAATGTCACTGTGTCCTGACATCTGTAACTTTCTAGAAAACTCTAAAGACTGGGGCCACTTCCCATTAAGATCTCCAATCTCTTTCTTCACACACACACAGGACAAAGTGTGTTCAAGCTTTAGTATTTTGAGCAGCTTCCCACTCTTCCTCAGGAATCTCGTCTTGCTTTTTAAGGAACTCAACATCTATCTCACTGCTTCCAACTCAGTAGCTCATCAAATGGGTTGCTCAGTTATGCAATTCTTAAAAAAAGCTCTCCCTGGACGTAGGAAAATAAGTTTCTTCACATGACATTTTAGAGTAATAGTTAATGTTTATTTTAGAATTCGCTTTAGAGATTTTATGATATTTCAAAAGGCCAACCATCCATCTCAGGACTGCATCTCTTTTAACTCTCAGAGACCAACCAGTCCCCTGATGTCAGGCTCAAGAGCTGGCTAGATTGAGAAGCATGTTCTTCTCTACCTACCCAGAGCATACCTAAGTTCAGGTAGGTGGAAAACTTCCAGATTTCTTCCACGGTCTTGAAGGTGATGAGAAACTGGTCCTTCTGGGACTGGACGCTCACCAGCCTTGCAGAGAGGTCCTGAGCAAGAGCAACAAGTCAGCCTGTGGTAAGAGTCCTTTAAGGAGGTCACGTGAGGACTCAGCGTTAATCACCAGCAGATGAGCGGCTACTAAGCAGGATGCTGTAAACCATCTCTCACGGCAAGGACTGGTCTACATTATGTTTACTGCTGATGAATGCCATGCTTTCAAATCTTTCACATTTGGATGATTTTACAGTCTTATTGCCCAAACAGCCCTGGGATAACTACCTCAATAGATAAATCTTTATGCACATCCTTGCTTGTACACGATTCTAAGAAGCACAGTTCCCAGTGGAGAATACATGCAGCGTCTATTCAAAAGATGCAGCCACCCAACAACCTCCAAAAATATTTGCCAATTTGTTTGCATAAGAAGAACAAGAAGAGGCCTGGGACCTCCTTGCTGTCTAAAATGGAACAAAGTAGGCTTGAACCCGTGGCACTTGCTTCCCCTCTGACCATCCCACTCCAGGGTCAGGAACTGCTAGACCAGGTCCTTAGGGAGTCTGCAGGGAAGAGAATCCAAAAGAAGAGCCCCAAGCCCAGTGGGAATCTGCAACCTGTCAACACCAGAGACTCAGAGGCCACAGGTCCTAAGTGGGACAAGCAGAGCTGCTGGGTTAAAAAAAAAAAAAAAAAAGAAAAGAAAAGAAAAGAAAAAACTTATAGTGAATTTGCTCAGTGTCAGACCTTTGTAAGGCCAATCTTCGCAACACTTCATTCAGCTACCACAATAAGTACCTGAAAAGAGTGCAATAGTGGTATTTAATCCACTCTAAAACAGGTTTTTGTAACATCTAACTGCTTCTTAAATAAAGACAAGGAAGTGCGTCACCCCGCCTAATGGACCAGATGGACTTTCTTTCAGATGTACACGAAATAAGGATGAACGTTATGATTAATAGTATCGTGAAGCTAATAGCATCACTCCAGTTTTGTAAACAAAAAAGATGAGGACACAGAGAGGTGACGTAAATTCCCTAGGGTCACCTATAGTGAGCTATAGAGCCCTGATTAGCTCTGAGTTACAGACAGCTTCTGGCCTCAGCCTCCACCCCTCAACATACTCAGCTCAAATACGATATAATCTAAGGGACAGCTCTTGCCATCAAACCCTGCTCCTGCCCACAGCAAAGATGGTTTGAATCAAAGGGAAATTCATTAAAGCCCATTTAAATCAAAGAGGAATTCATTAAAGCCATTGGCAGCAGGTGTCTTTACTTCCTGAATTCCAGGGGTTAAAATAGAATAAAATAAAATTTAGAAGCCCAGGGCAGGAGAAATGGCTCAGGAGGTAAAACCACTTGTTGCTCAAGCGTAAGGACATGAGTTTAGGTGACATCACCCATGTAAGAAAAGTCAGGTGTCATCCCCACACCTGTAACCCCAGTACTGAGGGGTGGGGGCGAGACTGGAGGAATACTGGGGCTTTGCTGGCCATCAGCCTGGTTCCAGTGTGAGTGAAACTCCGTCTCAAAGGAAGAGAGAGAAAAGTGACAGAGCAGGACACCTAATGTCCCCCTCCAGCCTCCTCAAATGCGCAAGCATGGTGGCCTGCAAGGTGCATGCGCATCCTCAACATATGCACACATACACATGCTCATACACACACATACGCATGCACACACATGCGCATGCACCACGATCACACACAGGGACACATGTTTCTTTTTAACTTTTAGCTATTGATTATGGAGCAGGTACCATGACCATGTACCTGCTTTCTCTACAGGCATAACCTTGCTTTCTCCTAAAATAAATAAATAAATAAATAAACTGCCACTGTCACTCTGTCACATGAAAGTCACAGTGCTCTTCTTCTTTCAATTCGTACCAGATTAAGGAGGAAATAAAAATAATAAGACATATTAGTTTATAATGTAAAGCATTGCTTTCTTTCCCCACCACTGACAGCAACAAATTCTCTCTGTTTCTGACTCTCATTCTTTGATCAGACCTTTTGTAACATCAAATATAACTTAACTATTAAACATTTATCTACTATGAAAAATCCACATATTTCATTGTTTCTCTCATCCCAACATTTATAGTTATGGTTTTTTCCATTGGCAATATTATTACTTTAAAAATATGTGCTTGGCCAGGCAATGGTGTCCCACACCTTTAATCCCAGCACTCAGGAGGCAGAAGCAGACAGATCTCTGTGAGTTTGAAGCCAGTCTGGTCTACAGAGCTAGTTCCAGGACAGTGAGAGCTGTTACACAGAGAAACCTGTCTGGGGGCGGGGAGAGGGGGAAGAAAGAAAGAAAAGAAAAAGAAAATATGTGCTTGCCAGGTGATGATGGCACACATCTCAGGTAGATCTCTGTGAGTTCAAGGCCAGTCTGGTCTACAAAGTGAGATCCAAGACAGCCAGGGCTACTCAGAGAAACCCTGTCTTCTGAAGAAAAAAAGAAATGTGTTCAATGTGTACCAGGACCCAAGGAAAAGGAGAAAATGGACAGTTATTTGTGGCACAGAGATTGAACATGGAGTGATGGGGATAGAATCTTCTGGAGACAAAGATAAGTGAATTGTGCATTTTAAATCACAATGGGAAAATACGTGAATTTTGTACCCTAGTAACAAAACAAAATTCAAATGTAGCACGCTATGGGGGAGGTCTACTTCTGAGGCGGTTGCTATAAACATCCCCATTCTGCATTAGTGCAAGTAACTTAACCAAATTCGGGGGCCAGGAGGAGAGTTCCTCTGGTTTAGGCCACTCATTACTGTTCGACAGCCAGCTGTTTTGGGGAGGACATACTTTGTCCGTGCTATTAGGAACCCGAGATCTGAGAGCCAGCCACCCAGCTCACCTTAAACAGTGCACAGACTTCATGGTCTTCATTCTCCAGGGCCCAGAGCCGCCTCCGTGCAGCCTCCTGCAAGGGTGCATTGACACAGCTCCTGGAGCGACTCTTCACACAGAATGAAAGCACCAGGTCTGCAAGAGAACAGAGAGAGATGCAAGGCTGAACACACGGTGAACGAGAACAGAGAGGCAAGGCTGCGCACACAGTGAACGAGAGGAAAGGAGAGAATGTTTCGCCCACGAGCCCCCAATTGCTATCCTCCGCTGACGAGAGATGAGAGTAAGCTAAAGGATACTCCATGTTCCCTTTTCAAGTATCCTCCCTGGGGACAGGGAAAGACACTGAAGGCCAGCAGGGCTCTGGAGAGGTGCACAGTGGTCACTTCTGCTCAGGTGCTGACACAGAACCAGCCAGGATGGACATTGCTCCCAGCAGATGATGTGTGAATGTCCCAAATGAAGACTACATTATCCAAACTGAAAGGAATGCATTTATACCCAAATTTATTTTCATTAAACATATTTCTGTTTTAATTTATTTTTATTTTATGTGCATTGTTGTTTTGCCTGCATATGTCTGTATGAGGCCTTCAGATCTTGGAGTTACAAACAGTTGTGAGCTGCTATGTGGATGCTGGGAGTTGAACCTGAGTCCTCTGGAAGAGTGGTGCTCTTAACCACTGAGCCATCTCTCCAGTCCCTACACACAAATGTACAATAGGCAATAAATATTATCTTATGAGCTGCTTGCACACATTTTCCCAACCTGGTTTTCATGCTCCAGAACTAACATTTCTTATGACAACCAGGGAGACACTGAGAGTCAATCTTTGATTTCTTCAGAGTTCACAGTCATTTAACAAACACTCTTTGAAGCCTCCTGGAAGTCTGTTTAGATGCGCTCATACAGCAAAGCACAAGGTTAGCTCCTGCTCCCATGAGTGACGCTTGGACAGAATTGACCTGCCAGGGATTTCTTCTCATAGAGAAAAGAACTAAGGAGGGAAAAAATGCAATGGAATCAAGAAACAGTTATATGCAGTTGAATATGTGAAGAGACCACACAGGATGCTACAAAGGACAATTTGCTACAGAAATTGTCCTTTCAGAAACGGTTTCTTCAGATATGAAGTACCAAGTTTGTTAATAATATGCTAACAGGAGAAGTAGAAGCATTGGGCTGGATTCACAGAAACCGGCTCCTTATTTCAATTTGGCTTAAGCCAGGTTATAGAGATGGCCCTTATCCTGCAGGTGGAGTCCACAGGACAGTCTGAATGCCCACATGGAAAAGGCCCATTTGCAACCCAGAGGTGCTGAAAGTATTGTCTGCGGCTGCAGGTCAGCTCCCGCACACACTCAAATGACCTGCATCTAGGTAAGAGGCCATTTCTTTTGTTCAGATCATCTCTGATCCATGTTCCCTCCAGTTTACCCAAGTCCCTCTCCATATCCATCCATTCTCCCCAGCCTCCATCTGGCCGTCTCTCTTCATGCTAACCCCCAAGATCAATGATAGCACAAACAAGAAGCCAAGGGAGGATTCTCAGAACCTCAGGTTCAGGGATTAGCTCCGCTCTCAAGCCGTGCCACCCTGAGCAGTTAACCACCTCTGTATGCTGATAGTCCCGTTAGGGGAAAAAAATGGTTTCGGTAAGACCCATGACAGGGCTTTGAAAGGGACCTTTCCAATGAGCTATGCATGTACCTCTTTCCTTAGTTCCTGGCCCATATTAAATGCTCAATACATGTGAAGCTTTTGGACCATCCCTCAGTCCCAATACCCCAGCAATTCTGCTCACCAATGTCCTCATCTGCTGATACTATTAATCTTGACAATAGCTGATACTGCTGGCTTCTGTTCTGCTAAACTCCATCTCTCCTGCCTTCCAAAACCTAATGCAAACTCCCTCTTAGGATCTCTTCCAAAATCACTGCCGCTCACTGGTGGGTGCCCTCAGTGTGACTCTTCTTATGATGTGTGAACCCATGTATACAAAATGGAGAGACCCTGATCTGAATAAAGCATCCCTTAAGATCTTAGTTGATACCGAGAGCAGAACCTCTTGGGCAGGTGGGATCCTGTAATACCCCAAATCACCACACAGGGCAGTCAGTCCAGTTCACTCTAGTGCAGACTGCAGCAGGCTGTGTCCTATTTTAATCTTTCTGGAAGCCAGGCCAAGAATGTACTGATTCTGTCTGGGATTGGCCTGCATAAGGCAAGATTAGAAGCTAGCACCAAGTCTCCCACTTCCACACCATGACCTACCTTCCTGCAAGCTCAGCCTAGAGATTCGGTTTCATCTAATGATACTCGTTGGAAAGTTATCAACTTTCACACACTAGTAAGATGATATGCTGACTCCAGTGTGGTTCTGGAGCAGCCAAAGGCAAAGTCAAAGGGTTTTCTGGGTCGGCCCAAGCTTACAGATGTTGAATGGCCCAAGAGCAAGATTTTTCTCCTTACTGCTGAGATGGTTCAGTGGATAAGGCACTTGCTAAGCCGGATGGCCTGAGTGTGATCCCGAGACATACATAGTGGAAGGAGAGAACCAATTCCCGAGTCCTGAAGTGTGTGCCCACACACATACAAACACACACATAAGTAAACATGATTTAAAACAGTTAATTAAAAACTAGCATTTAGACACAATTTCCAAAGGCGAACAGACAGAACCTGGTTTGATAATTAGGACAGTATCGATTTGCATCATTTATATGCTTAGAGATACCAAAATGTAACTCTCCCACAAATCTTCCGTCACAAGGGAAGGTATATTTTTGGAAAAGTGTGGAGCGTGATGGTTACAAACAGGACAAAAGTGATGGCAACTTCGCTGGCAACTCGACCACATCTGTTGTTAACTAAACCCCAAGCAGCTGGGGACACCTGTGAGGAATTTTTCTTAATTAAACCATCTGACATGGGAAGACCCACCTTGAATTTGGATCTTTTGAGGTGGGAAAATCCACCTTAAATCAGAGCCACATCTCTGGCAGCATCCTGTATAAAGGACACGGACGAAGAAAGCTTTAGCTCTCTGGCTGCTTGCCCTCGCTCTCACCAGCAAGTCCATTCCTTCACTGGCATTACAACCTACTTCTTCAGGATTCCAGTGTATACTGCGGACAGCTGAGACTTTCAGACTCATAGACTGAACAATTACTGGATTCTTGGACATTGGGTTGGCGGATAGCCATTGTTGGACTAGCTGGACCATGGCCTATAAGACCCTCTAATGAATCCCCTTTATATATCCTATCAGTTCTGGTCCTTTGGAGAACCCTAACGACAAGAGTTCAAGCCTCTTCCTTGTCACATAGTAAATGACAGTCGAGTCGCTGTCCCTTCTGAGATTCTGCTTCCCACCTTCCCATTTGATAGGTAGGGACTTGTTCGTCACCAAACAGATTAGACTGTGTAAAAAAAAGGACAATATAACAGACCTCCTGACCAGGATCTGCTCTCAAAATGGTCCCCTATAAGCCCAGCGTGGTGGACACACCTTTAATCACAGCACTAGGAAGGTAGAGGCAGATGGATATCAGTGAGTTCGAGGCCAGCCTGATCTATAAAGCAAGTTTCAGGACAACCAGAGATAACGAGACCCTGTCTCAAATACTAAATAAAAAAGAAAAAGAACAAAATGGTCCCCACTACTGCTCACCAGAAGCTGTGCTACAGAAATCACTCCTCCTCTATGCCCGTCAGCAGGTTTCTGCTGTAAGGTTCATCTCAATGCTATCATTTTCTAATGAGAATTCTCTCTTTGGGAGTTTTGCTGAAGCCTCACATAGGAGGACCTTATGAGATATTAATGAAAGGGATATCATCCATCACATTGATTTCCAAATCATTTTCTGCTTCTAAAATATTCGTTCAGATACTTCTACTCAGCCAATCTCATTCTACACACTCAGGTCTTCATTTGACTATTCATTTGTTTAGGAAATATTTTCTCAGAGCCTCCACTATGAAGAGACTGTGAGTGTTATATAGAACAGAAACGGGTCCTCCACATACTCGTTCCTCAACCTGTGTCTCTGCCATACATTTTCCAGACATTTATGTACTGCATACATACAAATGCACATGTTGAATGCACTTTTTTTTCAGTTTAATCCTGCCCCTATATCACCTTAGAAATCTAATAAATAATAAATAAGCCATAAATTATATGTGGAGTTCCTGACACATGTTGGATTCTAAAGAGCTTTAACTAACAGTCTGGGAGGTTTGTGTGTGTGACAGTATGATAAAAAGACACACTCACAAGATGATAAAGACACACTCACAAGATGATAAAGACACACTCACAAGATGATAAAGACACACTCACAAGATGATAAAGACACACTCACAAGATGATAAAGACACACTCACAAGATGATAAAGACACACTCACAAG